ATCCGTTGTCATAGTCTATTGTGTAAATTCTTTAACATTTAATTTCTTATCTTATTCCTTTATGTGATTTTGTATTTTTTCGTTTCAATTTTATTGTGTAATGTTACATGTATTAGGTAATTCAAATAAGATCTGAAGAAAATTTAGTTGGAAATCCACGGAGATAAGATTCGGACGTCGAATTGGTGTATACGGAAACCTGTAGTGAACAAAACATTAATACTGGACTTTGCCGTATATTTAAGTGCATGATTGATAAAAAACACATCATAATTCAAATATTATACAAATATTTTATTAAAAGAAAGAAACGTTAAACAAATATTCTGCAGAAAAGCTGTTCTTAAACGTTACCAAAAAAATAAATCGGCGACGTCTCATGGTTTTTTTCACATCAATTTTTCATATATATTTGAACTTAATCTAATATAATATTTGCACTTCTTGTTGTGAAAAATCAATTGTAGAAATTCGCATCTGGTAAAGTGAAATTGATGCATATTATTAAAATAACAAAATGACAAAGGATTGCAAGTTGAGTCTTCTATACAAAATAATAATGGATGAGACACAAATCGAGTCTTCTTCTATACAAAATAATAAGGGATGAGACACAAATCGAGTCTTCTTCTATACAAAATAATAATGGATGAGACACAAGTTGAGACTTCTCCTATACGAAATAATAATGGATGAGACACAAATCGAGTCTTCTTCTATACAAAATAACAAGGGATGAGACACAAATCGAGTCTTCTTCTATACAAAATAATAATGGATGAGACACAAATCAAGTCTTCTTCTATACAAAGTAATAATGGATGAGACACAAATCGAGTCTTCTTCAATACAAAATAATAATGGATGAGACAAAATGGATACGAAACAAATTGAGTCTTCCCCTATACAAAATAATAACGGATAAGAAACAAGTTGAGACTTCCCCTATACAAAATAATACAATGGATGAGACACAAGTTGAGTCTTCCCCTATACAAAATAATAATGGATGAGACACAAGTTGAGTCTTCCCTATACAAAATAATAATGGATGAGACACAAATCGAGTCTTCCTCTATACAAAATAATAATGGATGAGACACAAGTTGAGTCTTCCCCTATACAAAATAATAATGGATGAGACACAATAGATAAGAAACAAATTGAGACTTCTCCTATACAAAATAATAATGGATAAGACACAAGTTAAGACTTCTCCTATACAAAATAATAATGGATGAGACACAAGTTGAGACTTCTCCTATACAAAATAATAATGAATGAGACACAAATCGAGTCTTCTTCAATACAAAATAATAATAGATGAGACAAAATGGATACGAAACAAATTGAGTCTTCCCCTATACAAAATAATAATGGATGAGACACAAGTTGAGTCTTCCCCTTTACAAAATAATAATGGATGAGACACAAATCGAGTCTTCTTCTAGTCTATACAAAATAATAATGGATGAGACACAAGTTGAGTCTTCCCCTATACAAAATAATAATGGATGAGACACAAGTTGAGTCTTCCCCTATACAAAATAATAATGAATGAGACACACATCGAGTCTTCCTCTATACAAAATAATAATGGATGAGACACAAGTTGAGTCTTCCCCTATACAAAATAATAATGGATGAGACACAATAGATAAGAAACAAATTGAGTCTTCCGGATCCCCCTATACAAAATAATAATGGATGAGACACAAGTTGAGACTTCTCCTATACACAATAATAATGGATGAGACACAAGTTGAGACTTCTCCTATACAAAATAATAATGGATGAGACACAAATCAAGTCTTCTTTTATACAAAGTAATAATGGAAGAGACACAAGTTGAGACTTCTCCTATACAAAATAATAATGGATGAGACACAAGTTGAGTCTTCCCCTATACAAAATAATAATGGATGAGACACAAATCGAGTCTTCTTCTATACAAAATAATAACGGATGAGACACAAATTGAGTCTTCTACTATACAAAATAATAGTGGATGAGACACAAATTGAGTCTTCTATACAAAATAATAATGGATGAGACACAAATTGAGTCTTCCTCTATACAAAATAATAATGGATGAGACACACATTGAGTCTTCTCCTATATAAAATAATAATGGATGAGACACAAGTTGAGGCTTCTCCTATACAAACAAATAATGGGGTATTAATGGGTTAAATATAAAGAAAAAAGAATATTGATTAGCATAGATACATACAATATAAATACACAATTACAATACCTACAATCACAGTCATTTATGCTATATCAGTACCCCAGGCATACAATAGTTAAAATGCAATTAATCTAAAACATATTAAATGTACTTGTATCTTTAACAAATATTCTATTGTATTTAAGACCTGATGGTCATCACTGCTTACTAAGTAACGTGTTGATTGTGAAGTATTAAACTAGAGTCACCAACGAGCCTGTGTCGCTCACCTGGATATAGGTGCATCTTAAACATAGGTTGTAGATCGACTAGAATATAATTCATGACTAAAATATCTTTTTGATTGATCGTATTTTGCTGATTATTTTTACTGTGTTTAGTTTCTCTCTATCTTCTATAACTTTTATCAAAAATAAAAAAAAAAAGGTAAATTTGTTTTAAGCAATATTAGACATAATATAAACAAACTTAGTTTGGATGTACCTGTAGAAAACTTACTTCAAACGGAATATCACATCCCAGTTTTATGGTAATATTGTTTATAAAGCTCGTAAATTTAGATACGACCCGTGTATTCTTATCGGTCTTTTAAATAAACTTATTCTAAAAGGTTACCAATTTAACAGTGTAATAAGGTCTTTGAATATTGTTTTTGTCGGTGAAGACGTTAATTTTGTTATCAATAGATAATTTTAAAACATAATTCACAGTTCTATATTCTGTCGATACCTACATTTTGGCATTGAACAAAATTAAGATCTTATTTTTCTTTGACTATTTATGACATCTTAAATTCATTGGATGCGCACTACTACCAATTGATACTTTAGTCTTATAGATAGAGGATTTTTTTATTATTTGATATTGGCTTTAAAGGGTTTTCAGAAACTGTTAGTACTCTCAGATCTGCACTTTGTGTGTCCTTATGAAAATAAGGCGATGTGGTATGATTGCCAATGAGACAACTATCCACCAAAGTTCAAATGAAGTGGATGTAAGCAATTATAGGCAACCGTACGGCATTCAACAAAGAAAAAAACTCATACCGTATAGTCGGCTATTAAAAAAGCTCCGACAAGAAAAATATGAAACAATTCATTTGAGAAAAATAACGGCCTATCATATAACAAAATAATTTACGAAAAACAAATGTGACAGACATGAACCAACGACAACCACTGAACTACATGCTCCTGACTTGGGACAGGCACACAAAGAATGTGACTGGGATAAACATGTCTGAAGGCGCAAACCCTCCCCTAACCTGGGACAGTGGTGTAACAGTACAACACAAGAACAAACTATAAACATCAGTTGAAATGGGCTTAACTCATCAGATCGATACAATGAAGAAAAACACAGACAGGACGCGGTATAGTATTTATACATCCCTAAAAAAAAAAAAAAGACACGAAGTACAGTATTTGTGCTTTGTATTGATCTGATGAATTAAGCACTTTTCAACTGATTTAATAGTGTTTCAAGACAGGGGCCTGCAATTCAGTGGTTGTCTTTAAATTTGTTGCTGTACATCATATTTGTTTTTTCGTTTATTGTTTGGACATAAATCAGGCCGTTTGTTTTCTCGTTTGAATTGCATGGTTTACATTTGTCACGTCGAGCCCATTATAGCTTGCTATGTGGTATGGGTTTTTACTCATTGTTGAAGGCCGTATGGTGACCCACAGTTTCTAACGTCTTCGTCATTTGGTCTCTGACTTGTGGAAAGTTGTCTCATTGGCAATCATACCACATCTTCTTGTTTCTGTATAAAATATTAAACTTGCATCTTCCTAGGTTTATATCTTTAATTATGAGGATGACTGATACCTGAAATGTATATATACACAGTACATTGGTAAATAATTAGTGAATTATGAGGGTCTGGATGGGGGTCCTTCATTTCTGTATTCTTTCATTTTTTAGGCCATTTTTTTTCTCTATTCTTTAAACTATCTGCCCAGTATTCTCCATTCTTTATATTTTAGCACCTCATTATTCTGTATTCTTTATTTTTTGGGTCAATTTTTTCTCTATTCTTTATTTCCCCCCCCCCCCCCCCCCCCCCATTATTGTCTATTCTGTAAACCTCCACCCACACCCTCAATTATGTTAAATGAAAACCGTTGCTTTCCCGTTTCGACAGAAAATGTTTGACATCCGATTTAAGAGATTCAAAATTTTTGTCGCACTGTAGATAAATCATTCGACAAGTTCCATTTTTTTTATAGCATTGTTATAAAATGTAAAAATCTGTTGCCCTTTTAAAGGTGCTGTGGCCAATACGTAAATTCATAAAAAAAAATCGATATTCACGTACTAGTCCCAGATAGATGGTATAAAACAATTGTATTCACTACATCTTGTCGAATGAATAATGATGGCAATCTTTGATCTTAGCATGGAAATATTATATTTTGCTTCCATGATCTTAGCGTGTATTTATATTTAGGACTTTTTATTTTGTTATAATATATTTTATGTACATGGTTGAGTCTTTAGTTGTTTGGCTCTATTTTCTACATTTATAAAATCTCAGACTACTATAGTAGTCTTAGATAAAATTAGCTCTAAGACTATGACTTTTTATATAAGATATATTAAAAATATATTAAATGTGAGGTAATGTATCCAATGAATTGTATAGTCTCACTATACAAAGCCTTGATTCATCTTATTCAACGCCGAGTTCATTTCGATTGCACCAAGGATTCGTAAAGTATGCTATACGAATCCTTGTTTGCACACTGAAACTGTAAATAAAAAAGTCCGCGAAAACTCGCAGTTAACTCCCCTGTCGCTCAGCTGTGAACAAACGATTGCACCTGCGCATTTTTCACTTCCAGAAGCCGAGAATAAAAATATCCGTTGGAGTGGAAAAGCCGTGGAAATATTTCTCCTATGGCTGTTGACCAGTCAGCGCTCCTTTTACAAAGGCAGCTACGTGGTGAGGAATACAAAATAGGGAGAGCAAAGCCTTTGAATTTGTCACAAAATTGAAGTAGACCATCCTTTTCCGTCTTTTGTCGAACAAAAAGCAAAACGTCTGCGCATATGAATCATCCCAACACGTTCGTTAATAATAAGATTTGTTTTTTGTTAATGATACTATTTGATTAGTATGCTTGTTTTTAAATCGCTTTAACTATTCCGTGTGAAAAATTTCAATCGCCACATGTTGAAATTACACACATGTTCCCAACTATAAACTTTCCTGATCCAGTGCCAGTGGCAGTGTTCTCGAAATCTTTTTATTCATGGTGGTTCTTGAGAAAATCTGCTGGTCCTCACTTTTATTTCTATTGCAAAATACCAAAATTGTGTAGGTCCTTTGCAAATTTAGGTGGTCAAAACCTTTGGACCACCACTTTTCAAGAACTCTGTTGATCAAATGCTAGTCCTCCAAAAGGAGAAACTATTTATCAAATGAGCAAAGACTGGGCCAAAGTACGTCATTTGTTGAACTGATTGAGAAGTTAACTCAATATCAGTTATAATTCACATTATAAAAACTTTGTCCCAAGTGTTAGAGGTCACTGGCTAATCCCAGATTGCTCTGACAGCCCTTTTAAGGACTAGCTGGGGCCATGGTATGTCACAGCTTGTTTTAGACATCTGGTTATGTTGATCTCCTGTAGTTGGTGATCGCAATACTGGTATACTAGTATTGTGCACAATACTGGTATAAAAAATTTGTACCAGTATTGTATTCCAGTATTGTACCAGTATTGTGTGTTTTTTTAATTAAACAATACATATAGGTAATTAATCTTTTATTAAAGGTGTCACATATATATGTTACAGTGAATTTGTAAAATCAGGGATTTTGTAAAATCCCTGACATTTCAGGGTTTTTGTATAATCACTGAACTGTTTAGTGATTTTATAAAATCCCTGATTTTGACTAGGGATTTTACAAAATCACTGAAATAATTACGATCTTTTTACAGATTCCCTGATTGAATTCAGTGAATTTGTAAAATAAATAATTCTTTTTGATTAAACAATTCTTTAAAAAAAAAGTCAACAACAGTTTCACTAAACAAGTTTGAGGTTAATTTAGCCTTAGTACTATATACTTAATACTTAGTGAACAATTTTCACAAAACAACTGACATACTGTAGAAAAATGACTCGGGCACATATGTCTTTAAATCAAGAGCAAACTTATACACAAAAATTACTTCAAATAATCGAGGGAAAAATTAAAATGTAAAATATTGAACCAAGAAAAATATGAAGAAATTTTAAAACCTTTTGCTAAAAATCCACAGAAAGAAGACAAAACAAGCTCTTTATTATTACCTTGTTCGAAACTAAGTTAAAGTTTATTATATAGTGCTTCTGTAATTACTTAAAAGTATAAACCAAGTATGTCAAATTTTATAATCAAATACAAAGACAAACATTGGAGTCATTGCCGTAATGAGAGGAGAAAAACACATGGAAAAAGTAAGAAATTGATTTGTCACAGTGATCCAGTGGCAGATATTACATGCATATCGGGACGAGAGTATCTTTTTGTGACATGAAAATTAATATATAAAAAGCAAATAAGTGTTGTATTATTAATTTGCAGCCTATAAAAGACATATAAATCCACAAAATATTAATAGTAAAACAAATAGACAACATATACGTATAGGTAAAAATACTTTGTTTTGTACTTGCATTTCTTACTTTGGTCATATCTCAGATACGGCCTTATACATGTGTTCATTCATAGAGTGATAAAAGATTAAATAAGTTTTTATACTTTCTTCACTCTTTAGATTCAAATCAAATTACAAGTAAACATTTGTTTGATGTAGGTATACAGTTTTTCAATGTAGAGATGTGAAAAAAATCTTTAAAAAATGCCGGGCATTCATCAGATAACGATATCAAATCTTAAGCAAAAATAAGTAAAATTGTAGTCCTACATTTAACAGCTCATATATTTTTATTATTCATAGTCACTGTAAAATAGTTTTCTGTAACTAGTATTATTTATTAAAATTCAAAATCAAAATCATTGTTTATTTGTATTATGAAAAACACATTCCTAATATCAAGTTCAAACTTGCAATCAGGGATTTTACAAAATCCCTGGCAATATTTTCAGTGATTTTACAAAATCACTGACATTTTCAGGGATTTTACAAAATCACTGAAACTGTTAGTGGTTTTACAAAATCACTAATTATTCTAGGGATTTTTCAAAATCACTGATTTTACAAATTCACTGTAACATATATACATAATGATATTAACATATGACATGACAATTTTATATGGAATGATTGTATGTTTAACTGTTGATGGTACACTGTGATTGTAATCAAAGAAAGTTTTAAATCTGATGTTTTTTTTCTTATAAAGGGAACCGTACTGTCTCAGCATTTTAACAAACTCTTTACTTTCTTCTATGTTTTCTTCCAGCTCTTTCTTTCCAAGTCTCAATAGTATATTTTAGTGAATTTTATATTGACATTAATGCTGTTATAGCTTCTGTATCATTAGCATTGGTATTGTTTATTTCTTCTTCAGATGGCATTTCTGCAACCCCCACTTCCTATATTGATATTTATGTATTCAGTCTGTGGACTTTCTCTTATGCTTACTTGATTACAAGCTTGTTTAGATAGCACCTGTACGGTTCTCTTACTGTAGGAGTGCTTGTCTAGTATTAGTATTTGAGTATTTGTACCAGTAGATATATCTGCTACAAATTGTATTGTCCATGGTTCTGAATCAACTGCTTTAACTACCCTTAACATTCATGCAGACAAACTAGTTAATTTGATTATTATCAGGTTCCCCTATTAAGCAACTTTTTATGTTTAATGGATATTGATATCTTTTATTATGTTTATTGTGAAAGATTGATAAGAAAATAAAGACAAACAAATGCTTAGAATCTTAGTATACATGTACAGTCAAACCTGAGTAAACCGGACCCTGAATATACTGGTTTCCTGTCCATTCCAGCCGAAAATTAAAGTCCCATTTTTTCCCCTTCAAAGTCTTTGTTAAAATACCCTTTGTAAACCGGACCCTGTGTATTCCGAATTCCAGACTAATGATGCAGTCCCAATACTCTTAATTACATCAATTATTACCTGTCAAAACCGGTTTGTCTAATTAATTTTAAATGATAACAGTATTGATATGCAATCAAAACATATTTGTTTATATAGGATGGCTTTACAGGATAATCAATTAGCCAGGTGTTAAACCGTGAACTTACAATGGTACAGTAGTGAACTGTATTAATAAAACACTATATAAAAGTGTAAATTAAACTAAAAGACACGCCGAATATATCTCGGATAGAACTTACGTTGTAACTTAGATTATTTTTTTTTTCAAATCGCGGAGTTGGAAAATTTACATCCTGGGTTCCCTGTTGTGAACCCCTAAACCAATGACCCTGATAATGAAGAACACCCGGATGACAACAATCAATCAGTATTGTACACTGTAGGACAATGTTTTTATCGTGATGAAATTTCGTTATATAAAATTCTGGCTTTTTAATCGGCTATACCAACGTCGGAAATGACGATGGAAGTAAAACGAAACTTTCGTGTCACAATTCAAACAACGCGATGATTATGATGCAAATGAAAACAATGAGCACAAAGTGAAAGTGAAAGTGACATGTCGAATACTGATGCTACCGAGGTCTAATATGTAAAAAACGGTTAAAATATTATTTTTTTTGAATTCAAGGAAAACCAGTTTCTTAAATGTATATAGCCAATGAATAAGAAGATTCAAAACAACGATCATGCCAAGTTATTACGTTATTGCGTGTTGTATTAATGAGTTTATAGCTTACAACCAAACAGAACTTTTACATGCAATATATCGGACGTCACAAGTCATTAACTTCCGGTCAAAACGGAAACCTGAATAAATCAGCCCACTGTCCAAACCGGCCCTTTTTCATAGTCCCATAGCCGGCCGGTTTATACAGGTTTTACTGTATTAAAATATCTGTTAAAAAATATACGATGGCATACATGTAAATGCTGAATTTACAGTGTTATAGTGTAATAATTTGCTTGAATTTATTAAATAATAACTGAGATAATAAATCTTTTATTTTATTTTATCTAAATTGAATTACATAAAATATCTATAGAAATATGATAAAATTATTAGCAATCATTTATATATTTAACAATCGTTTGAATAAGATGAGTTAATTACAATAATTTTTGTTTATTTGTACAAGTATAGTAATTATTTTTAACTGGTTGTTAATTGATTTCACAATTATCCTCTATAATCTTTTTGAGTTCATTTAATCTCCCTTTGATCTTCAATATCTAATTTTGCTTAAAATTCATTTTTCATTATACACCTTACATGCCTTAAAGTATAGTGAACAATACAACTACAATACTGGTATATCAGTAATGTACCAGTATTGCTGTTTTTAAAAAAAAAGTTACAATACTGGTACAAAATTTTTATACCAGTATTGTGGACAATACTGGTATACCAGTATTGCGATCACCAACTACAGGAGATCCCTCCCTTGGCAGCACAGTAAAAGTCATTGTCAAGATGGGGAGACTTCAGGTGCACCTTAGGCATGTCAGGGAGATGTGAATGATCTAAGACAGGAGACATGCAATTATTAGTATAAATAACATGATTAACATGGTGGGATAATTGCAACATGACAGATGTTTGGTGTTATGCAATAATGTCCTGTTGACATGTCACCATGCATACCATTTCTAGATCAAGACCTGTATAAGTTGATGGAGTCATTGACCAGTTTATCATGATTTTGCCTAGATTGTGTTCATGGGGTTTATTCATCTGGATGATTATTATATTGTTGAAACCCATTAAATTGACAATAAACATGATAAATAGCAGCATACCAATATATAAATATATATATATATGTTTTGAATTTTCCTTGGAGTTCGGTATTTTTGATATTTT